AACATGTTTGTTATTCTTTGTTGAAATTCAATTTTGTGTCAAGATCCTAAAAGCATAATTTTATTTGGAATGCATTTATTGAGGGGGAGCTTTGATTTTTTTTTTCAAATAATTTTTAAAATGTCAAATTTACTACTTACTCTCCAAAGTTATTTTGAACTTCAAAGATTAGAGTCTTTTTGATTTAACAAAAAGGGGGAGAAGTATTAAGGTGTTAAAGGGGAGAAATGTTAAAGTAAGGGGGAGTAATTTCAAACTTGATTTCAAAATCTTAAAATTACTCAAATGTTTTGTTATATCAAAAAGGGGGAGATTGTTGAAAAAATTTTGATGTTTCGATATAACAAATTAAGTTAAATGAATTTTAAGATTTTACAAAAGATTTTCTAAGTATATTCGATGTAATTATTCGAATATCAAAATATTACTCCAAGTCTTTCAAAGTTTATTTTAATCCTTACCAAAGTGTAAAATTGTGTTTTATACTTAAACTATTTTTAAAACAATTTTACAAAGTATTTTGAACCGTTTCAAAGCCAAGAAAAATCAGATTGCCCAGGGGGTACAGATTCCCCCCAAGGGGGAACAGATTCCCCCCAGGGGGTACCAATTCCCCCTGTCTAATGGTAAAAAATAGATTGAACTTAGGGAACTGATTCCCCATGAGAGGGTATTGATTCCCCCACGCTCCAAGCTGTTTTATTAATTGTTTTTCATCCCCAAACGGCTCCAAAACATCCCCAACGACTATCCAAGCAATCAAACACAAGAGAAGAGTTTTTCATTCTTATTTCATCTTTCTCTTGTAAATATTTTGTTCTTGTGAGCTCAATCTTGTAAACACCTACCTTAGAGAGGTTTTCTTGTTTACTTATTTTATCCTTTTGTAAAGGGGAAAGGTTCTAGTTTAGCCCCAAAAAACTAGGGAGTTGTAAGGTTATCTCTTTGTCCTCAAAAGAAAGAACAAATTAGTGTAGATGCATTTTGTTTAATGTATATGTTACATTTTACATGATATTGGCACTATGTGTGCAACCCACGTAATTCATAATGAGTTTATGAATTACCGTATTGGTACTATGTGTACAACTCACGTAATTCATAATGAGTTTGTGAATTACAGTATTGGCACTATGTGTGCAACCCATGTAATTCATAATGAGTTTGTGAAATACTGTATCGGCACTATGTGTGAAAAACCACATAATTTATATTGAGTTGTAATATCCAATTTGTATTTTGATTGTGATGATATACTTATGTTTTAAATTCACCTCATTATTATTATGTCTTACTAAGTATATACTTAGAGTGTGTTGGTTTCACGCGTATGTAAAAGCCAAGATTAAAAGTAAAGAGTACATAGCAACTCCAAGCATCAAGGAATATACTACAATATCAGTAAGACATCCTATGATGAAATTTTGACTCAGTTTAATGACATGTATTTATGAATGTCCTATTAGCTCTGTTTAACTAATTTGGAAATTGGTTTGTATTAGAACAACTAAATTGTTTTATTCTATTTTAAATATGAATAATATGAACCAATATTATTAATTTGAGTAGATGTGTTTAAAATATATATATATATATATATATATGTATGTATGTATGTATGTATATATGTATGTATTTGAAGAATGAGTTATAAACTATATTATTAAATTGTTTTATCTAAAGAAACAAAATTTTACTGGTTTTCAAGTACCGAAAATGTTTTAAAAGACATATGGCATCTGTGACTTGTGTACGGAAACATATACGGGAAATGGGTGTTACATTGTAGCCCTTAAGATTTAATATTTATTTTCAACCTCTTTAAATGTGGTTGAGTTTATTTCTAATATCGTATTTGATAAATGTTTTTGAAATAATTTATTAAATAAATTTCCTTCGTGAATCATTTATGTGATCAACATGGTCACCCTGTTTCAGTTGTAACTCCTAGGCTAGGTTTAGGAGTTATATTTAATGGTATCAAAGCTCATGTTTAAATTTTAGGACTGTGTATCCTACTATAATTCTGAAAATATGTTTAAAATAAATATGCAAAATGATTTTTAGAAAAATATGAAAAAATATTTTTGAAAAAAAAAATCATGTCACTAGATTTTAAGTATTTTTTCTAAAATTATCGAGACTTCAGTGTCATTATGGATAGTTACTACTTTTCTATAATCATAGTTTACTGCATGATATATAATCATAAGTCTGGTATGCATATATGATGTCATTTAGGCACCTTAATTGATTACTTCAATTGTATATATTTTAAAAATCAAAAGGATATAACATTTGTATCACTTTGGTCCAGACTATCTTGAGGGAAAAGAGTTAATTTTGAGTATTATTCTAGAAATCTTACAGAATTCAATGTGAGAATAGTAGTAAGTAACTATAAACTCTTTCAGTGGGTTACCTATGACTCTATCCAAGTAAGATTCAGTCTGTGTTTTATCGATCATCTGGATAAATTAATTTATTTTATTTTGGTTTGAAATAGGTGTGTTTTTTATAACTAACTTGATTGTTAACTTTTGAAATTGTTCATCTTTGTGATGTTCCTTTATCTACAATTTCTGAGATCTAAGATTTATGTCACAGTTTTAAAAGACTCTTCTTAAGGCTCTGTGTACGTGATTTAAACTTCAATACAACTTATTATCCACATTTTCATGGTATATTTGAATGAGTTATTTAGATTTTGAAAGATATGTTGAAAGGTTACATTATAAGGTTTCAATATAATTGGGTGGATCGTTTACCGTTAGCTGAGGTTTATAGCACCTTGTCGGATTCTATGATGAGTAGGACTAGTTGCTTAACGACCAAGTTGTTGTTAGAGCTTAAGCGTACTTATGTTGAGGCGTTACTGTTCTGAACTCCCTATATTGTTTCTATTGAGAATATTGAGGAGAAACCTATGGATTATTTCCTATGAGGATCATGTTTCAGAAAGCAGATAGCCTTGTGAATGCCACTTGGGAGACTCAGGAGTCTGTGAGGATGTTTTTCCCTCATCTTTTTAAGTCAAGAAAAAATTTAAGGTCGATTTTTTTGAATGGTGGAAGTTGTCACCACAAATTTAGGGGTTAAATTGTATTGAATAGGAATTTTCAAAACTTTTGCAAGTTTTCAAAAGTTAAGGGATTAGTTGCATAATTTACCCAAAAATTTAATTTGGTTTAAAAACTATCTCCTTTCTTTTCCATTTTTTCCTATTTATGCCAAAAATCAGAAACATTTTCTCTCTCTCCATCCATTTTTAGTTTTTCTTATATTCATCGCTAACTGTGTGGTGGTGTTCGATAGCGCCGACACTATTGTGTTCGTCTCATCAACCTTATTCGTCTAGTGTCTTTCGCTTATCATTCAATGTCGCCATTTACAACCGGTGAAGGTTTGAATATTTGGGTTTCGTTAAAACCTCATCTTTGTTGATCTTTTTAGAAAATCGATATTTGTGGTTACATGTCTTCGTACCGTTTCGCAGTAAATCTAAATCACCTATGTTCAGCTCAGTTTGACTTTGTACGCTCGATTCGAGATACACAACCTACTAGTATAGTTCGTGGAAGGTGCAAAGCTTAGTCGGTATATTTTAGTTGATATAGATGTGTCTCCTTTACTCGTATGATATATTTAATAATTTTATATCTTTTACACTATTTGATGTTATATGTAGGCATGTTTGTATTATGATTATGTTGGTCTGATATATGATTGCTTTCAGAATGATATTGCATCATCTTTTATCTATGCATTGATATATTTCTATCATCTGCATGGGATCCTCTACGGAGAACATAATCTCGTCATGGTTCTGTATGGATTTATATCCCGTCTTGATTTTGCATGAGATTATATCTTATTCTGATTCTAGAATGGATTATATCCCCGTCTTGATTCTGCATGGGATTATATCCTCATCCTGATTCTACATGAGATTATATCCTCGTCGTGATTCTGCATTGGATTATATCTCGTCTAGGTTTTACATGGAATTAAATATCCGTCATGATTCTGCATAGGATTATATCCTCGTCCTAATTCTGCATGGGATTATATATATGTCCTGTTTATGTCTGGGATGCTTTTTGGAGGGTTATATCCCATTTTGATTTCTATTTCTGATTGGGATCCTCTTCGGATGGAAGATCCCCATCCTATTATACCAGCTAAAAGTAAAGTTGTATGAATTTTTTGTTATAACCTTCCAATAATGGTTAATTGATTTATTGATGTTTGAATTCAAATTGCATCTTTATAATATGTTTATTTATTTATGGTATGTCACTCATGTCTATTTTACTTGAAGACACACTGAGCTTTGTAGCTTACTTTGTTTTTGTCTTTCATTTTCGGATTATCCAATCATAGGACCAGTTTGACTATCGGAAGTGTGGTATTGATTATATACTATATGAAATTTAATATTTATTTTCAACCTCTTTAAATATGGCATGAGTTTATTTCTAATATAGTATTTGGTAAATGTTTTCAAAATGATTTATTAAACAAATTTCGTTCGTAAATCATTTATGTGATCAACGTGATCACCCTGATTTAGTTGTAACTCCTATACTAGGTCTACAAGGTTACATTTTGATCTAAAATTATTTTTTCTTAAAATCATTATTAATGTTATATTTTAATTTTATTTTGATCATCTATCATGAAAAATTAATAGAACTTCTGACATGACATTTTTAATTTTTTTCAATGATGATATGATATTATCTTATAATAACAACACCGTTAATTTTTTTAACATGGGTGACCAAAATGAAACTAAAACATAACTTTAGTAATAATTTTGAAAAATAAATATTAGGTTACTAAAATGGAAACAAAGTTATAATTGAATGATTAAATACATAATTTATCCGGAAGAAAGATGAAATCACATCAGAGAGTCGGAGAGGACAATGGAGTAGCATTGCAGGACTTGATAGCCAAAATATGGTTACCTCACAAAACTATATTACTGAATAACCCAAGACAAATATCACACATCATGATGTCATGTACAACAATATTAGATTCCCCCACCCACCACAGATCAATTAACTCCAATCTTCCAAAATTACATATATAATACCATATAACCAAACAAAATCAAACACCTTTTGCAGGAATGTCAAGGGATGATAATAGCTCCTTGGAGATATCCACTACAAATGGATAAGATCAATTCCAGTCAGTAATACAAACAGCTCCTTCCCTGGTCAATACGACGGAGCTGATACGAGGAAAGATATCGTCGCAAGTCTCGTCGAACAAACCTCAAGCTGATATGGGCTCATATGGGTATGATAGCCATGGGTGCTTCAGAGCCTCTGCTGCAGAAGGACGCTTCTTTGGGTTTACTTCAAGCAAATGGGCAACGAAATCAACGAAGCCCCGGTCGCCCATAGGCAGCCGATGCCTTAAGGATGTCTTCTTCGGTATCAGGTATTCCAGTCGATTGGTCTCCTGAAGTATAATTGTAAATATGCACATTGTTAAACTAAAATGCATAAACGTAAAAATAGCATTCAAGTTATATAAGGAGATTGCAGGGAACCCCTAAGCACGGGAAGCACAGCGAAAATAATGTTCGAGAAAGATTGACCTGATTACGTTCATAAAGCATGTGGTTCTTCGTGAAGTATTTGTATGTATCCCGTCCTTTGGCAAGCATATCTTGTTTGATTGGACCTATTATTCCAATTACTCGTGCAAGCAATGTCGCAGGTGAATCACTTTGGAAGAGTACCTACATCATATTGAAGAAGCCAAATTGCACCAATATTTATTTATTGCTCCAAAAATAATTATTCAGAAATAGATTAAAGAAATTACTCAAGTGAAATAATGCGATTTTACAGTAAGATCAACTAAAGAAAATAATATAGTCAGGGGAACAAGCTAACTAACTTATAGCAATAGAATGAATGCATTAAAATCTAAATCTTGAAACTATAACATGCAAAACATGAAACTATAACATCAAAACATTTTCTTTTGACCAGATTTGAGCCGTTAACTTGTTTCAGAGACTCGGTGATTGGACAGAGTACCAAAATTTAATCCATTTAGCATTTATGGATGAGGACCTCACTAAATGCTATTACGAAGAGGCCATATTCATAAGCAGAAAACGCTAGCTAATGTTTAAAGACGGCTACTTACATTGCCAGAACAGAGTTCTGCCAAGATACAGCCAAGTGACCAGACATCTATTTTCTTGTCATATGGAAGTCCTAGGATAACCTCCGGTGCACGATAGGACCTGGATTGAACATAGGAGCATAGGTGATCTGTCTCAAAACAACTGCTCCCAAGATCAATGACCTTCACCTCACATCTACTATAGCTTTTAACTAATATATTTTCTGGCTTCAGGTCACAGTGTATTAAGCCAAGACCATGCAAAAACTGGAGAGCCTCCAAACACTGAATGGTAATTGACTGCACAAAAGAATTCGAGAGGATTACATAATAGTAAAACATAGATTTGATGCACTTGTGAAGAAAACAAATTTCAACAAACCTGCAATCTTGGCATTGTGAAATAAACCTCTCCACCTGATTCTCTATTAAATTTATGGAACTCATATAAGTTTGCCTTGAGAAGTTCACAGACTATTAGCAAATGCTCCTGGAAAATAGAGAAGAGTCGGATTCTACTCAATTCACACGTATCGTTGTTCACGTACAGGACACTATCATACATTAGCCAAACTTCTAATTTCTCCAGCACAGAGCATTTATAACCGAACATGCCAGCTTGAAATTTGACATACAAAAGAAATGAAGCCAGACATGTCCAGAACAATGTCCCTCAATAAATATGTGTATAAAAGGAACACAAAAGAACTAGGAGTAGAGCACAAAATACCATGAGCATGCCCGCATTCACTTACTCGGTAGTAAAAGTAATCATACAATCGGAGAATGTGATGTTTATCTGCTGGATCATGTTTGTTAACATACTTGAGAAGCTTAATCTCATCAAGGCTTTGGTCAAAAAAATCCTTGTTGTTCTTTATAATTTTCACACAGACATCCATGCCAGTGTGCAGGTCATGAGCTTGTATAGCTTTACTAAACGCAGCTGATCCGAGATACTCAGTGACATGATAGCGCCCAGCGATAACAGAATTTAGAACAACGTGAAAATTCTTATCCTCCTCAAATCCAGTTCTGGAAAGCAAAAAAAGAGGACTTATGTAAGCAAACCCGTGCTCAATAGCTGATAGCAAAACAAAAACCAATCAATATAAGCTATACTAAAGAAAATCCAGTTCTGGAAATAAATAAAAGAGGACTTATTTAAGCAAACCAGTGCTTAATAGCTGAAAGCAAAACAAAAACCAATCAAAATAAGTTATACTAAAGAAATATCATCAGGCATGTAAAAATTCCAGAAATATGCCACCTGTTGTTAAAGCAGCAAAATTTAGCTCTAAACCTATGTTTGTGTCATCAATAACAAAAACAGGCTGAAATATAGACATGCTTTCTTTTCTTTATGCTCACATGATGACAGCAATCAGCCTCATAGGGATCGAGTCAATAGTGTGTGTGTGTCTGTGTGTGTGTGTGTGAGAGAGAGAGAGAGAGAGAGAGAAAAGGCACATCAGCACAATTTTGAAATCGTTAGCACTGGTGAATGAACAGAGTATAAATTACAATTAGGATTTGTTTCTAAGATAAGACATGCCTGTTTTTCCTATGCACAATCTTTAGATCAAAGGTCTCAAATTCCTCCTCCTGTGCTTTAATCTGTCTCACTTGCTCTTGGACGGCAGCAGCCTCTTCATCTTCAAGCGATGCCCCAAGATCCTCTTCCCTCGTGCCACTAATTTTCCCATCCTCTAATTTCTTGGTCTGCTTTTGTTCACCATAGCCATAATTAGAGAGAGACGAAGGACTAGAATTTGCTGATCTTACAGCGTTGGTGTCATCTTCATCCCTAGAACTTTTGGCAGTTGAAGAATCACTACTTTTTCGCCGCCATGTAGCAAGCATATCGTCAGACCCCATCAAAGCAGTCAAATAGTCATCATGGTCTTCACCAGCAACATTGCAGTTATTTGACCATAAAGACTTACTAGGGCCTGCCTGCACAATCTGCCCATCTCTTAATGGCGGAGGAAAAGAAAATCCCCCATCTCCAAGATTTTTCACCTGGGTGTTCAGACCTTTATCATTCCCAATAACATTCTTATTAGAATCATTTTTTCCCGTTTTTCTTTTATCTCTAGATGATTTGTCAATATATTTCCTTTCAGTTTCATGATGACTTTGTCGAGAACCACCAATAGAACCATCATGGTCATGAAAATATTCTAAATCCCCTTCACTACTACCTGCAACTAAACTTTTATGTACTTCACTGCCAAAGTCAGCAGTATCACTGCTGATTCCCACACCAATTGACCTAACTGAACCATGCTGATCATTATCTATACGAATATCATCCAGCTGAGATCTACCACACTCATTGAGAAATTTTCCATCCCCCAGCATGATAAGTTCATCTGTGTGTGTGACAAATCCCTGCCAAACAGGTTCAGCACGCATCAAATTAAGCTCCTCTTCATCCATCAACTGTCCATCATATTGGGCAATTAAATCATTCTCATGAGTCCTGTCATACATTTCAGTTACAGACAGCGGATCATCACAAGCTGCAAGTGGTTCAACATTATTTGCCTGGAGATACCGCTCGCCAGAGAAGTAAGAATCCTCTTCTGCAAATGATTGATCATCATCTTCATCCTTGGTTTGACCTCTTTCTTGTGGATCCCGAACACTCCCATGCCCAGTTCCCTTCTCATTGTCACTAGGATAATCAATTTCATGAGCCAGAAACCAGGCTTCATCCTCAATAGGTTGCCTCATGTATCCAACATCATCATCGTCATCATATTCATCAGAGTCCCAATACTCATTTGGGTAATCAACAGGTTCACTTAATCCATCACCAATGGTAGCAAAACCAGAAGCCAGATCAGATGCATCTTCTGCAATGCCCTGACTCACAGAAAGCCAACTACCTCCAGCATTCCTTTTCCCGCCTGGACCATCATAAAAAGGATTTTCAAGTATTACCAGCAGAGTCATGGGAGAAACAAGAGATGCTCTAACAAATATATATGAGTAATAACTTAATAGATTCAGTGCCAGACAAAGCTTAACATACTACCCTAAGGAACCAGAGAATGCTAAAACTTGAATCCTTTTCAGACATCTAGATCTAAATTGCAAACGCTTTAAGCATGCAAAATCAGTCTGGAATTAGGAGGAAAGATGCAACTTGAACCATTGGCAGTATAAAGGTAGTTACCATAAATGCATTTATCATGTTTAGTGTTATAAAATGACCTTCCAGGAAGGAGAAGACAAACAAAAGAGCTTATTTTACTTGAATTTAAGAGGTCTCAAATTTGAATCAGGCTATTTGTTAGCTACCCAGGTTTTACTTGATTTTTAACTCAAGCTCATCGTACTCAATTGTCAAATAGTCAGCTCATCAAGCTTTTGAACTCTTAGATATTTCAATCATTTTATATAAATGATTTAGTATAATATTTACTAGTTGCATACAGCTCATTCCTCAAACGAATTTGGAGCTTCTTATTTGAGTAAATGCTATGTAAGCATAGTTCAACAAGCTCAAGTACGTCAAACTTGAGTATAGAAAAACAAGATCAAGTTCCAATCAAGCCTTAGCATTGTTTCAGAGCAGCTTCGCTTCATCATACTGTATACATGCACAGGTTAAATCTGAAGATCATTTATCTATTTATTAGCTGCTAACTGCTAACCTCAAGCTGATTAGGACCCTACATAAGTTGGAACAAATATTATCAAATGTTCAGATTTTTCAGTTTTTAAGTATTTCTATTTTCAGTTTTAACTACATGGTTATCCTGGCAATTCCAAAAAAATATACATATTGCTAAATGTCCATTTAAGATTTTCCATTGGGCAATTTGACAATATTTTAGGCCCAAGAAAAAGAGTTATTTAACAGCCGGCATTACCACACTTTTTCAGCCTAGTGATTTATGGCCCATGTGGTAAGACTTCTTTGCATCTCCTATACTGTTCTCCCCAAATTTCCCATGGTAATTCAAATAATTTAAAAATATTAAGTGAGGCATATACAAGTACATTAAAATCAAGAAAAATATCAAGTGATTTCCGGCCCATGTGGTAAGACTTCCTTGCATCTCCTATACTGTTCCCCTCAAATTTCCCATGGTCATTCAAATAATTTGAAAATATCAAGTGAGAGGCATATATGAGTACATTAAAATCAAGAAAAGTATCAAGTGATTTCCAGCCCATGTGGTAAGACTTCCTTGCATCTCCTATACTGTTCCCCCCAAATTTCCCATGGTAATTCAAATAATTTCAAAATATCAAGCGAGAGGCATATATGAGTACATTAAAATCAGGAAAAATAAGCATTTATTCATTTCCCTTGATAAGTTCAACAGTGGTCTGAAGCCTACAATCCACTTGGATTTGTTCCTACGGTATCATTATCATCTCAAATAGCATAATACTAGAGATGACCAAAAGTGTGAACTAGGAGAGGCACAAACCTAAAAGGATAAAGAGCCTGGAGCTGAGATAATTGTGAAAATTATGTTAAAATGGTTGCATAAACAAAACAGCCTAAAACTAGCACAAAACTAGACAACCTAAATATGAAAGAACATGGAACTGAAGCATCTGACCTGAACTCACTCATTTTCCACCCCAACATATTATCACTTAGCTATCAAATTCCACCTTTGAGTTACTATTCAGATTGGAAGTTTAAAATACCCATTATCTGACAGACCAATAATTCCTAAAACTAGAATTTCCTATTTGGCTACAGTGCCAAACCTCTCATATTAGAAACCCAACCAAACAAATAATTCCAGAGCCTCTACCCTTTGTAATAAGAACTTACACTTGCTAAAATTCTCGTTCCCTCACTGACCCATGCCGATCATGTAATTAACTATTAAATTTTTCTACAGTCGTCCAAAAGATTCAGGTTAGATGTTCTAAAGTAACTTAATAATTCTAGTGTTTATGCACAACTCAAAATACAGATACTCTTTAACTATTGACCAATCATGAATTAAAGGTCTAATATAATATATTTTGGACATTTTTACCTTTAGGGTAAGCTATCTTCATGCTATGTATTTCTTTTACCTGTCTAGTTGCACCTGGCTTCACAAAAACTAAACCTGGTATGACCTATTATAAATAGAAAAACAATGATGTTTTCAAAGTGCAGAAACAGCATAAAAACTTTGTCCCGCTTGAGTTTCACAAAGTTCTACTTAGAAGGCTTCCTCCAATCATTTTTATCATTATGGTTAGTATCACCTAGGGAAAAGTTCAACCTATCTTCCCAGCGCTCAAAAATTGGTTTTTATGTACCCACACAGACACTTGCGAACAGATAAATGACAAGCCTCATGGGAGAAATCTTAGAACTAGTGACAACAAAGTATGATTTCAACTTAGAGGTCATATATATATCAAAAGAAAGTTCACATAGATCCCCAATGACGCTTCGCCACCTATAACTAGATGATAAAATTTCAAGTTAACAAAGATTTTCACCACAACGAATTAGACATCTCTCTAAGTTTTTGACATAGAATATGCACATGCAAAGACGTAAAAATGTATGCATATATCCTACCAGAAGGTTAAAGAAACCAAAAATCAAGTTAGGAAAAGGAAAGAGTAGAAAAAAATGAAGTCTGAATTATTAGCAACATTTCACAGACAATAGACATTATTTTAAACAAAACAAAAATCAAACATCTATGTATGCACAAATCATCAACTAACCATTTCAATTCGTTAGCTAACCTGAAGCATTTATCTCTTGCCCAATGGGAATATTCAAATAGGACCCTATAAGAAAGGTATTGTCGGAAGTCATGAGCTTTGCTCCTGGGCCATCACGCTCGTATTTTTCCTCCCAGCTAATATTCAATGATTTCTCCTCTGATTTGAGTTTAACTGGAGGCAACCTAGGAAACACTTCCTTTTGATCATCATAGGGAAGGGGGAAGACCAATCCATTCATACCTTTTTGCTCAGCACTAACTTGAGACTTCCCAAAGAATAGAGCCCTCCCAACCTCATCCACCTGTTCTTTAATTGCTGCTCTGGCATCAAGCACATCTGCTTTTTGCTTTCCTCCTCTCTTATCTGAAGCACTAGCAGCATTATTGCCGATTGATACATCCCCGTTAGGAAATGGAAAACCAGTCTTGACGGAATAATCTTTCCTTATCTCTGAAGATGAACCACTGGGTTCCTCAGTTCTGGACCATCTGATGTTATCAGCAAAGTTTTCCTTCAAATATCCGCTGCTAGTCTTAAATTGCTGATCTAGCTCCTTAGTTTCACTCGTATGAAACTTGTCATACCTGTAATCCAAATTAGCTTTGCTGGTATTTCCAAGCCATGAAGTTTTAGTTTCAACTGGAAAGGAAATCTCTTCTCCAGATTTAACATTGCCTTTATGAATTTCAGGAGCTTCAGACATACAATATCTTAACTGATCTGGTTTCTCCATGTCTGAAAAACCGGAGCTACTAATTATACTGTCATTTTTTAACGGATCAGGACCATTGGGTTTATTAGAGAATGCAAAACTCTTATCACTTGTCACTCTTGCTTCATTGGGTTTATTAGAATCCCCAGTAGAAGCAGCATTTCTCCATTGACTTTCAGGCCCATTTCTGCCAGCCGCACACTCTATCTCTTTCACTATAAGTTCCTTAGAGACCTCACCACTGTTTTGAGAACCCGAACCATGACTTTCACCAGCTATTTTTTTCCCATTTTCTTCTTCTAGTACCTTGCCAGATTCCTCCTCAAGGGTAAGTTTCTGGCAGAATCCATTTAAATCAGGGCGGTTACCAAGTTCACTAAGCAAAGCTGCCTCAGCTCTTGTAAAGCGATTTCTCCTCAAAAAGTCCAGTATCACATCAGTTGAGCTTGGTTCTGTCATTATGAAGTGCGATAGGTCTAGACACAGATTATAAGGAAGAATCTAAACCTGAAAATATCCGAACAAAAGAAACAAACTGTTTATTTAGTCCAAATGGAAGTTAAAAAGATGTCAGCTTCAAATGCTCTTTTAAGGGTAAGAAAGCTAACTTCAGAGAAAAGAATTAACAAAAATTGGAAACATTGAGTTTCTTCCTTTCCTTTAAATTAAACTGTAAGAAAATTTCCGTAAATGAGAAAACTGAAAGATGTAAGTAACCAAGATTAACAAGCTAGCGAGTTTGTTTTTGGTCAGGTTAAATTTGATTTCAGTTTATTTTCCTTTTAGAGTACCAATATACATCTCAATAAAAGATTTACAATTGAAATCCCATGAAACAAAATGGAGATTATTAGAAAACTTGAAAATAAGGGTCATGGTGATTGATTTCTGAAGTGTTAATCCTTACTAGGGCCAACTTCAATAACTAAGAAAGTATAATTTGAATCCTACGTCTCCAAATCCCTTTTTTCTCATACAACTGGAGTGAACTTTTTTCCCCTTTCCCGTTTAAATATCCCCTTATTTGGAAAAACAAATTTTACATTCTCTCCGAATTGAAGGAGGGAAAAAACACCCACAGAAATTCCCAAGCTAGTGAATCAAATCGAAGAATGATAAGATCTGGAGCTCAGACCTAAAACCCTAGAAATTCCCAGAAGACCTTAAAAACGGATATTCAAATTTGAAATGAAGCAGCCAAAAACCTGGAGAAGAGATTCGAGGGGGAAAGAACTTACAGATCGACGACGAAGAACAGTCACACCAATCTCTGTTGTTCGCTTTGGATTCCACAACCATACTCCACATTCCAATAAAAAAGGAAATTACAATGTGATTTTTCTTCTGTCCGCCATTTCGCTGAATTTTTTTATTATTTTTCTTTTTCTATCGTCTCGCTGGGTGCTTTGTTGTATTATAGTGTTTTCGGCCTGCAATTTCTCTCGGGGCTGCCATGGCATATGATATAGGGTAAACTACAAAGTTAGTCTCCTAGCTTTCACAAATTTTTATTTGGTCCCACAAATATAAAACTTGCAAATTGGTCAATGACGTTAGACATTGGTTGCATTTTAATCACTTCCGTTCAATTTAGTAAATCTTGTTTTCATTTTAGACATTTACCTTATATTTTATTCTCATTTTAGTCATTCATGTTAAATTAGATTTTTTATATGAAATTTCTCATATTAATATCTTCAACAAAATCATATTTAATATATATCTTAATTATCAATATCTCAATTATAAGATTTTTAGGTACATATAATATCTTTTAATAAAATTTTCAGAAAGTCTCATAGGTTTAATAGTATCATGAAATTCATTAACAAGAGAAATTTTGATTTTTTTATCAAATTTAAACTATGCACTAAGCTCACAACAAAAATACATCAACTTAAAGATAACTATGAGTGTTAAAAAATATCCAACTTAGTTGACTCGATTCGTCGACCCAGTTAAAAATATAAGGTAATTATAATGAAAATACCCGATTTTTTGAGTTGGGTACCTAGTCAGCTATTTTTCTCAGGTTTCTGGGTCGGTCACAGGTCAATAAATATTGCTTAACCAGGTACCCACCGACTCGATACTCGGTTTCTTATATATATAATTTTTATTTTTTATTCTTATTTTTTATTCATAATTCTCAAATTATTTCATTCTAACATTCTAGATTCCTAATTTCTTAAATTTTACCACCGTAACATTCTAAATTCTTAATTTCTTCAATTTTTTTACATTAATATTTTAAATTATTTTTAAAATATGTATTTTAGCTTCAAAACATTTGGATTTAATTATATTTATTTATTTATTTTAATTTTTAATAAATTTTATCTTTCGATTATGTAATTTGTATTTTTAAACTATATGTATGAATTATATATTATAGATTTTTGAATTTTAAATTTTAGAATTTTTTAATATAATTTTTCTAAAAATAATACAATTTAAAAAATAAAAAAATATGAGTCGGGGTACCCGTGACCCGAAAATATGGATACACGACTTACGGGTATCCAGATGTAATGGGCCAAGATATGAGAAGACATTTTAATACCAAAAAATTCAGAATATCCGATATTTCAGATAACAAACGATACGGATACCCAGTTTTAAACACCACTGAAATTACCTAACCAATGCCTTTACAACATGAACCATGTCGACTATGTTATGTTTGTCATTTCCTTAGACCTCAATATTAATGATAATTTTTGACATCTTATTGGGGCATTAGCACTATTTTCAGCACAAAAGTTCAGGATAATCATCTTCAATAGCAATTAAGAAAAATTATTTGAAGTATAATAACACCAATGATCCAAGATGCATAGGGTCAAATTTTGTTAAATAAATGTTTGATCATTTTACTAACTGTAGGATAATACTTCCTCGAGCAACGTATCTGTATCAGATAAAAAAATAATAGATAAAATAAGTATTTTAGTTATTGGATGGAAAAAGTATTATAATTATTTATTTGGATAAAATATTCATGTGAGACTCCCATTATATATAATTTTTATTTAAGTGACAATAAAATATATATAAGCTTACAATAAAAATAAATGCCTAAATTATATTTAAAATTGATTTTAATTTTTTTTGTCAAAAATCAGTGACTAATGTTTTCTCCGTTATACCTTTAGGTGTCTACCGTTAAAAACTCTCGTTAAGTGATATGTGTCACGTTTAATTTTAAAAAAAATATTTTTAAATAATATTTTATTTTTAAAAAAATCATAAAAATATAAACGTGACACGTGTCACCTAACGGGTTTTTAACAGTAGAACCTAAAAGTGTAATGAAGAAAACATTGGGCACCTCTTTTTAACAAAAAAAATTAGACACCAAAAGTCAAATTTGAGTATAGTTTAAGCACTTATTTTTGTATTAAGCCTAAAATCTATGACAAATGAATAATATAAAAACAAAATATAAGGAGAGTGATTAAAATGAAAATAGAGAAAAATGAAATTTAATGAGAGAGACTAAAATGATAATAACATCTAATTTGAGTTACTAAAATGTAAACAATGTGTAACGATGTTGACCAATTGTAAATTTTCATTTTTAGTCACTAAATAGAAAATTATAAAAGTTTAGGGACTAACTGTATAGTTTCCTCTGTGATATATGATAATTGTTAACAAATTTAATAAACATGGCTAGTGTTTAACCCGTCAGATAGTGTGTGTATCCAAAATAAAAATGAAGTGTTTATGCAATATACTTTAAAAGAAATAACAAGTTTATTAATAATGAGATCATTTAGTGTGACGATGTATTGATTTTTTAAGGAAACATTATACAGTTCCTCACTAAACTATATTGTATCTCCTATTTTCCTCACTCAACTTTCAAATTTTTTATTTTGTTCATTGAACTTTACAAATTGAATCATTTTGCTCACTCTCCCGTTAACTCTCTAATGTTTTGATGATGTGTCATTTTTATTATTATTTTTTAATATAAAATAATTGAGAAAATAACAAAAGACAGAAGGTGGTCAGATCCACCGTTGGACACCGTCGATCGCTGAAGATGGTAGTCATTCGGTCTCAAATTTCATGGGTCGTTTCGCATCGACGTCATGATTTTGAATCCGACCTCCATTTTGTCGGAACTTGCTTCGAAGTCCACAAATTTGAGATTGAAAATGAGAGAGTCGAAATGTTTCAATCGAGATTCACGAGTTTCGGGACATTTTCGGTGAAATAACCACAAGATTTGGACTCAGTAGGTCGAGATGAAGCAACCCATGAAATTTGGGATTGAACGACCACTATTAACGACAGTAGACGATGGTCGGAATAAAAAATAACGTGGTGGCCGGCGGAGAGAAAGTAAAGAAGAAAAGGAAAAAGGTAAATTAGATCATTCTTCATTGAACTTTATTCTCTCTCCAATTTTACTCACTGAACTTTCAATATAGGATTTGAAATGACGTTGTTTTGATGATTATGCCATGTCATAACACCGTTAAATAGTTAATGACAGAGCGAGCTAAATGATTCAATTTGTAAAGTTCAGTGGGTAAAATAGAAAATTTGAAACTTGGGTGAGGAAAATAGGAGATAGAGTATAGTTCAGTGAGGAACGATGTAATTTACTCATTTATTAAATAAGATTAGGAACTTAAATTTTAATATTGCAAATAAAAGAAATTAACTTGTAAGAATCATTTCATTATAAATTATTACAATATTCACACATGATAAAGAGGCTCATGAACAATTTAGATACTCTAGTGATTTTGTTCATTGAGGAAGGAAAGGTTATGTTGGGTCTGGATATGCAAACTTTGAATTTGTTAATCCATTATTTGGAATAGTTGAGTTGTTAAGGGATGGACCGAAGAAGAGCATGCAGAGACAGTCAATCTCTTAAAAGTTATAAATTAGTATATATTTTAGTTATTTTTTATATTTTCAATTGATAATATGTTTATGTTGAACTCCCCACGGGTCAACAAAGGCTCAAAACAATTTGAAGGAAAAAGAAACAAATGGAATATAATACTTGATTTATTATAGTGTGGTTTGAAAGCTAACACAAAGCTTTCTTATATAGGAACTTGAATTACATAACTTTCAAAATAATTAAAACTTACAAATTAAACTTAATATCAATTGAACTAAAAACATAAACTAAATTAATATGCATATGTAGGTGTTGATATTTCAACACACCCCCTCAACACCAACTTTCATGTTGAGCTGACAATAGAAGCTTTCCAGTTTGTTGCCACCCAACCTTTCGTGAATAGGTCCACCACTTGGTTTATAGTCTTTATATGTTCAAGCTTAATTTCCTCTTGCAATACTTTTACTTTAACAAAATGGTAGTGTACCTCCACATGTTTAGTTCGTGCACGAAAAACTGGATTCTCAGTGAAACACATAAATTGTCACAATACATAGTGACTAGAAACTCAACTTGCTAATGTAAGTCCTTTAACAATTTCAAAAGTCAAAGTGTTTTCTTGAGTTGTCATTTTCGTTGCACAATGCCCTACTTCAATGGTTGACAAAGACACTATAGGTTGTCATTTGCTACACAAAGAAATTGCTTCAGATCCAAGTAAAAGCACATACCCTGTAGTTGAGCGTATGGGTATCATGGCCACCTGCATAGTCAGTATCACAATAGTCAATAGCTTGCAATGTTAAGTTTCTTTGGATTTTACATGTAGCGACTCACAATGCCCACTACAAAAGAAATATGTGATCTTGTTAAAGTTAAGTAGATAAGACAACAACCTAATTGTCGATGCATTGTAGCATCTTCTAAATATTTCCCTTCATTAGCACAAATTTTGGCATTTGATTCCATCGGCATAGAAATTGGTTTGCAATTAAGAATTCCGAATGTTTTTTAATAAATCATTGGAATACTTTATTTGATGGAGAAAATTCCTTCCTTAGTGTGATCAATCTCCAGACCAAGAAAATGTCTAAGTTGTCCAAGTTCTTTTATTTAGAAGCAAATTGATAAATTCTCCATAATTCGAAGAATTTCTTCATCATAATCTCCAATGATGATTAAATCATCCACATATACTAGCATGATAGCTAGTTTTACGTCATATACTTTTACAAATATACTAGAATCAAAAGGAGTCACATAATAGTTACTATAAGTTAGAAATTCAGCTATCTTCTTATATCTAGCCCTGGGTGCTTGCTTTAATCCATAAAGTGTCTTTCGGAGCTTGAAGACATAATCAGGATGATCTTGACTTCAAAAACCCATTCACTAGTCCACATAAATCTCACGATCTAGCTCCCCATGTAAGAATGCATTTCTTACATCCATTTTCCATAAATTCTAATCCTTACAAGCTGCAAGAGCTAGTAGGACTC